GGCACCAAGAAACTCTCTCTCTATCATTCTGCCGGCATTGATGGCAAGTTTTCCCGACGAACACTTCTTCAGAGGACTCTTCAGAGTCATCCTGTAAACCAACACATGAATATCTGCATCAGCAACATAAAATAGTGGGACAGAAAAGAATAGAAAAAAGTTGCAGAGGAATAATCATCATAAAGCATGAACTGAACCCAGCAATATATTGGAGAAAAGAATCATTACAATCTGATTATCAATTAACTATATTTGACCCATTCATTTGCTGTGACACCTAATAAGTTAGAATAGTGTTCTTTCCACTTTTTTTCTTATTGATACTAGCGATGCTATCGAAAGAGGCCCACCACAATTTACTATATGGGCAAGATGCCCCTTGTGAAGCATCCCCATTACTAAAGTTGCACATATTTATGCCATATCCTTTTAAGAGCAAAATTACACTCTAGAATGAATTCCACCCCCCAACCTTTTCAAGATCTCATGCACACAGGAAAAAAAACCTGCCATAACAAGAATAAAGACAATACTAATGCTACCAGATGCACCATGTACTTTGCAAGTTAACTCACCACTGTCATAGTAACATCATCATAGCTTCTCTGTGATCTGTTCCTAGATGAATCCGCAGCAGAAAAAGATTGTATCTTGTATGACCTCCAATTCTCTTCAAAAGGTGAGCCATCTCTTTGATAATCATCTTCCATCTTTACAGAATTACGTGCTGGGAAATTCCTCATAGCAGGTGTTTCGGGTGAATACTGAATTTGATTCTTTGAAACCTTCTCCTTATATTTCTTCCCAGAAACCGGAGGAGGATAGTCTTCGACTTTCCTACTTATAAGTGGCACATCAAAGTCATCACTCTTGTCTGCATACACCTCACTTTCCCCACCCAACTTCCTCTTTTTCTTAAGGCTAGCTCTCAATGCAGAATTGGCAGCCCTCCTTTTCGCCTGGATATAATGTTTTTCACAAACTGTTTTGTCTGGCATAGACATGGCAGTACACCTCCACTGCTTCCCGTCCGACCTTTTGCAACGCAAATCATCTGGAATCCCAACATTATCCTCACCATGCCCTGGGCCTGATCTTGGATGATCCATACCACTCACTTTGCAATCAAATTCAATAGCAGCAAAGCATGCCCAAATTCAACCTAAAAACAGTCAAACAAAATTTATAAAAAAGTACCTAGCAAGCTAGTTAAAAAAAAAATTTCAATCACCGCCATCATCAAGTACAAACATACAAAATATTTGAACCCCTTACTGGAATTTAACAATAATTCAAAAAAAAAAACAAAAACAAATTGAGCCAATCAGGAAGATAAAGAAGATTGGCATTGTATAATAAGTAAATAAACAAAGATAAGAAAGTAGAACCCAAACCATAAAAAATAGTAAAACAATGAAACAAAGAAGCAATCGTGTGAATTATCAAAGAAAACCCATAGTCCTAAACCCCAGAAGTAACTTCAAAAGACATGTAAAACAAAAAACAAAGAAGCAATCATGTGAATTATCAAAGAAACCCATATTCTTAAACCCCAGAAGTAACTTAAAAAAACAATGTAAAACAAAAACAAACCCCCGCCCCCCAAGAAATTGGGAAACAAAAAACCCACTATCAAAGAAGGCAGAGAAGTGAAGTACCTGAGGCTAGGGCTTTTGATTAGAGTAACAGGCAGAGAAAGATATACGCAAAGAAAAAGAAACTCAAGAAGCATATGTTAATGTATAAGAAGGCCAAAGGCCAAAGGAGACTCCGAGTTGGATCGCGCTGTTACTTGACTTCCCGTTTTACGCTTCTACTTTGGTCCCTTTTTAAGTTTTTTTTTTTTTTTTTGGCTTTTTTCTGGTTTATTTCAGACATCGCTGTGCGAAAGTTCACCGTCAACTAGTTTAACTAAACAACTGTTAAACTTCCGCCGTACCACAAGCCTCAAATCAAAGAATGCCGAAATTACCAAATCCCCCCGCCAATTTATTTTCCGACCACGGTTTTTTATTTTTTCAATTTAAAGAAAATTAATAAAGGATATAGTGTTTTTATTATATAATAAAAAAGAAAAATATACAATTGTAATTATCAAGCTCAAAATGCTAAATAAAACTCTCTACGTTTCTTTTTTTTTACGATAATAATGATAAAATTTTTTATTTGATGCATTTTATATTAAAATTTTGGAATTTCTTTTTATAATATAAATGTTTGACACTTTTTAATTTTGCAAATAAATGACATAATATCTAAAAAATCTTGAAAAAATATTTAAAAAATAAATAAATTCTTATTCTTTAATTATATTCAATTAAATCTTTATACTCTTATTTTGAATTAAATAAACTTTTATGATTAATGATTAATTAATTATTATTAATTCAAATGCTAATAGTAATTTTATGCCACTTGATGCTTTGGGACAACTCAATAAATTCAAAGGCCAAAACCAAAATAATTAAATGAGGTTTTTTATTAAAATTAAGAAAAAAAATTTCAAGCTTTGAAAAGCAAAATTCATATTTTTGATTTGATATATTCAAATATTTATTATGAAGTACCAAAAATATTTAATTATTATAATTATTTTATATTTTTAAATAATTAATATAAAATCCATAATTAAAATTTTTAATTTAAATAAATTAACTTTCATATAAAATAAATATAATATAATAATATTATATAAACTTTAAATTAAAGTGAAAAAGTCTACAAAAATAAAAATAATAGTACTTCATTGTTGAATGTGTATTGCAAATCATAAATGAAGCCTATGATTTTATAAAAATAATATCATAACAAACATCCTACGTATTCTTTGAAGAAAAATTAAAATTAAAAATAAATAAATGAGAGAAGAATGATTTAAAAATAGATGTTATAAATTGAAAAAAAAATAATTAATTTTATATATAAGAAATAAAATAGCTACTTAAATTTTTAAATACATCTTACCGTTAGTTAATTATAAATAAAAATATATATGAGAAAAAGTAGCTACTAGAGATCATTAAATATATTTTACCGTTAGTTGATTATAAATGAAAAAAAATATATAAGAAAAAATAGTAGTTAGAGATCGCTAAATACATAGTACTATTAATTGATTGAAAATAAGAAAAATAGTTAAGGATTAATAACATTTTAAGAATTGAGAAGTGATAAAAATATTTAAATTTATTAAGTATATAATTAGAGAAGTGAGAGAATATGTTATTTTATTAATTTTTTTACTTTTAATTTTTTATATATTTTTAATAAAAAATGAAATAATTAGTTCAAAATTAATAGGATATGAAAGTGAGAGAAAATGAATATTTATTAAGTATTAGAAAATAGGTAAATACTTTATTAATTATTTTAATTTATATATATATATTAATATAATTAATTACATTATTATTATAAAAATATAAAGCCTTTCCAAATTTGAGGCCTGAAGCCATTATTTTTGTGATCCAAAAGTCGACCTTGGTGATGCTAATATGATATATTGAAATGTGATAATGAACGATAATGTTATATAATGATATACTCATATAATACTTTTTATTTTTAACGTTAATGTTACATGATATAAAATGACCAATGATATTTTTTATTAATAAAAATTATTTAATTGTTAATTATAAAAATTTATTTAATATAAAATAAAAAATACATGAACTTAATTGAATATAATAAAAAAAATAAAAACTTATTTGATTTTCTTGAAAAGTTTATAAACTTGTTAAAGTATTAAGCCAAAATTATTTTATAGTATAGGATAAGTGATAGTGTTTAATTAAATGTTTAAAAGAATATTTCATTTTAGAACCCGAGCATTTGGCTCTTTAATTGGTACATGATCTCCTTACCTAAAGAGTAAGGTTCGAATCCCCCTCTTTTAATTATAAAAAAAAATAAAAAAAAAATGAAACGACTGCAAATTATGTTTTTTTAATATAAATTTGAGAAAGTTATCAATCAATGTTCCATCTATATGTACATTTATATGATGTATTAGTTTTCTCATTTATATTTAAGAATGATGATTTAGTTTTTAGTTGAAAAATGTAATTCATATGCTTTCTTTCTTGTTGGAAAATTGTTGCATTCAAAGATATTATTACATTTAGAAATATTTTCAATCTAAAAAAAATTGTACATTAAAAATTGAATTTGCTCTTACATATTCCATTATTCATTTAATAAATGCATGATTGATATTGAAAATTACATTTATAGTTTCAAAATTAATATTTCACATTTAATTTTGAAAATGAAGGAAAAATTTACATTGTAATTTATTCATTTCATCTAGAAAATAATTAAAAAAAGAAAAACTAAACTTGATCAGATGCCCTTGAAACATAATAATTCAGAAAAACCTATAATTATCAAACACGTATGCACCGTAATGTCGATGAATCCAAAACCTAATTGTAAGAACAAAAAATCTTTAAGAACTGTTTCGAAATTAATTAGATTTTGAAGGGACGTAAGTGCAATTATTGTAATCTTCAAATTTCAATTTAGACACATTGATTATTGAACTTTTTCTCTTCCCTTTTTGGTTTATATAATTTTCCCTTTATTTTAATCATTTTCTTTTAAGGGTTAACTCTATCTATACTTCTTATGATTTTAGCCATTTTTACGTAACATTTAATAATTTTTTTCTAATTAGCATCTAATGAATTTTTTCTTTCAATTAACACCTTATAAATGATTTTTACTTTTGCAAAAAGTCAATTTATTTATTCATATTTAAGGGTAATTTTATAATTTTATTACACAAAATTAATAACTTAACCCCCTTTAGTTCATGAAGTTATCTATTGAATGCTAATTGAGAAAAATGATATCTAAAAAATAGTATTACGAAAAAAAATTACAGGGGTACATATGAAATAAATAAAACTATAAGAGGTATAAGTGAAATTTGTCATTCTTTGAAAAAAAAATGAAAAGGGTAAGATCCAAACTTCCAATCCCTACAGCCAAACACCTCCTTCAGAACTACCTTATATTTCTTTAACATTTTCTCACTCAGAAAAAAAGAAAAAAAAAAAACACCATTCCTCGAGTCTTAAATTTCTCACAAATCTGATACCAATATATAAATTCTCAGCTCAAAATCTAAATCCGCGAGACAAACACAGAGGAGAAGAGAAGATAAAGAAAATGGCGACGATGGCGAGAGCAAGCTCTGGCCTCGCGTACCCGGAGCGATTCTACGCGGCGGCTTCCTACGCTGGCTTCGACGGATCTCCCAGTTCCAACAACAAAGACATCAGCTCCAGGTTCTCCAACGACGTCGCTTTGATCCTCTACGCATTGTACCAGCAGGTAAACTTCACCATTCTCAATTCCCTCTCTCTATATTCATTGGATCCAGCCTTCTCCGATGCGACAGCGATTTGTTTTTTTTTTTTGCTGATTTCTCTTTATTTTTATTGCATTTTGCAGCAATGTTACGTTTATTTGATTTCAGCTAACGATTTCGTATATTCAATTGCTTTTGTATATAATTCGTATGTTTTTGGGAGCTTTTTGAGTGTAATTTAGGTGGATCTGGTTTTACACTCTGAAATTAAAGCAATTCGAATGTTGATCTCTTAATTAAATCGAATAATTATTTATTTATTTGAAATAGGAAGAATCATGTGTCGTTACCTTACTAATTTTCCACGTTATTATGTGATTTACAGGCTACTGTAGGTCCTTGTAATGTTCCGAAACCGAGTTCGTGGAGTCCTGTGGAACAAAGCAAATGGAAAAGGTCTGCAAGCTCATTTGCTGCTGCCGTGTAATTTTAATTTCTGGTGCTTCTTCTTGTTCTATGTTGCTGGTTAATTTGATATATATGTGTGCGTGTGTGTTTATGCTTGGCTATTTTGGTTTGGTAATCCATGTGCTCAAATGCGGGGTTGATGATAGGAACTTTGATTCGGGGAGATGTGAATGGATCGTTTCCGATATTAGGGTCCAGTTACATGTGTAGTTTGGACATTTTTTAGTTGTTTCAATAGTTGGTGATGCCTGCACACTGTTCTGCATAGTTTGTATTGCTCAATTAGTGGAGAAAATTATGGAGAAGCACTTCTGTGTAGTTTATATCCGTGTGGTCTAGGTTGGTCCAATTTCCATCTTCCGTATATGCAAGCTTTCATATATGTATAAAACAAGGATTTAGGTGGTCAAAAGCAATTAATTATAGGTCAGATGGATGTTGTATATGATATTTTCTTTTATTTTTCTTTTTTCCTTTTTGATAAGTGTCCTTCTCTGCTTTTTATTGTTAATGCAGCTGGCAGCAGCTTGGAAACATGGTTTCTACAGAGGCTATGCGTCTCTTTGTGAAAATATTGGAGGTATAGGCCAATGACATTTTCCGGACTTTTGGTATGTATATGAATCAATTTGGTTTTATATAATTATTTACTATTTTATTCCTTGTTCTTTGAGTTCTTGTTCAGGAAGAAGAACCAGGATGGTATTCAAGGGCATCTAACTCTGTTTCGGAGCCTGTTATAGATGTACAAATGAATGTAAGTAAGCTTTTATTTCCGCAGTTTTGGTTGTGTGTTTTTACCATTTCCCATGGTCTGTTATTTTCACTGTTTTGATTGGGGGTATTTTACCATTTCAAGGGCATCTAAGTATGTTTCAGAGCTTGTTCTCAACTTTTAAACAAGTTTTACACCATAATTTTCAGATACTTCAATTTGATTTTTCATTTGGTGTATGTACTGTTCTCTTATCAGTCTGTACTCAAAATTTGAAGGAGAGAAGCCAAGTTGCTTAATCGGAGGTGACTTTTTGTTCCTTGTACTCACTTTTACCTTCTCAACTTGTTTGCATGTTCATAGCATAATTCAAAAGTTGAGCCTATCACCGAGAATGGGAATTCTTTTGCTGAGACAAAGACCATTTCTGCTGAAAATGGAAGCCTGATGGAAACTCAGGACAAAGATGTTGTATCAGAAGGCCTTGGTTCTGTTGTTGTATATGATCAATGGATTGCACCTCCAATAACTGGTCAGCCTCCTAAAGCCCGATATGAGGTATTGACATCTCTCTCATTTAAATGCCGGTCCTTTCTTCTTCATCTTGCCCTTTTACCTCACCCAAAGAACTTTTGCTCTTGTTTGCCAGCATGGAGCAGCAGTTGTTCAGGATAAGATGTATATATTTGGTGGAAACCACAATGGTCGTTACCTAAGTGACCTTCATGTAAGTAAATTATTTACCTCAACATGCAACACACATGCTTTATGCCATGTCGTTATTTTTGTAATATCACAATACAATTCAGTATGCTGTATGATTTTAGACGTCAAATGAAGTATTACTAAATTGTAATTCTCAGTTTCCAGGCCATTGCTGGAAAACTCTAATCTAATTCTGTAGTCTTAATGAGCCTTAGATTCTTGTTTGTATACTCATGCATCAGTATAACTATACATGGTAGCTTTCCCCCTAATCTGAGGATTGATACAGGTTCTAGATTTGAGAAGTTGGACTTGGTCAAAGATTGATGCTAAGGTTGGACCTGAGTCAGTGGAATCGCCATCTCCAGTGAACATAGCCCCATGCGCTGGTCATTCATTGGTTAGTAGAGAACTGAGTTTCTTTTTGTTTCCCTTTGACTTCTCAGAAGCAAAGTTCTCTAATGAAAAATATGCACATTTCTCTGGTATTTGTTTGCTGAAAATTCTTGTATTGATGCTAATTGTCTTTCTACAGTTATATTATTTAACTCTCTCTCTCTCCCTTCTATTTTTCCCCATAGATACCTTGGGAGAACAAGCTTCTTTCAATTGCTGGCCATACAAAGGATCCTTCTGAAACTATCCACGGTACTTGTTTCCACCCCGTATAACAATTTTCAATAAGTTGAGGGTTCTATTGTTCTTTTGCCTCCTTTCTTTTTGATGGTTTATTTTATTGGTCTGTATGCTTATGGCAGTGAAGGCATTTGATATGCAAACTGGTACATGGTCAATGTTAAAGACTTATGGCAAAGCACCGGTATTTATCTGTTCTTCCTCTTAACTACCTCTCTTTCCCCTGTATCAACCCAAAAATATCAACAACCTAAATTTAGATAATTTTACGGGGTTCATGGTTTGTGCTTTTGTTCACAAAAGAATTAGGCCAGGCTTTGGTTTTTCAATGTCTCTTAAATAGCAGCTGCTGGTGGGATTGATCTTCCTTGTTCTGTTGAATATGGTAATTAAGAAACTGAAAACCTAATACATAAATGTTGATTGCTGGGCAATGTTTAGCTGAAAATTTTTAAACATATTGGTATGCTTGAATATGGCTGGAGCTAAAACTTGTTAAGGCAAAATTGCCGATTGCATGTGTGCTTATATATGCTCATTCCCCATTATTTTCCCCATGGTAGCTTCTATGATTTTCCTGAATATGTTCCCCCAACATTGTTATGAGTTTTTTCCCCCCTAACTTATGTGATTACCTTGCAGGTCTCTCGCGGAGGTCAATCTGTGACCCTTGTTGGAACAACCTTAGTGATATTTGGTGGACAGGATGCAAAGCGAACACTCTTGAATGATCTATATATACTTGATCTCGAAACTATGACCTGGGATGAAATTGATGCTGTGTAAGATTACTTTTTGGCAATTTTATTCTTTCACTATCCCTTCAGACATGTTAGTCGATGTCTGAATTCTTTTGTTAAGGATGTGGTGCAGTCCTTCTATAGCCTTTAACACTTAGATTGTAATTGAAATCACATTTGCTGCATTCCAAATCTGAAGAGCTGGCTTTGAACTAGGGTGTTGTTGCATGCACAATCAGCCTTCTCCATTGTTAATTTTATCCTTATTAAGGTTCAATTATCATACCAGATTTCAATCTAGTTCACAAGATTTGCCTGTGATCAAAATTGAATTAATAACCTGATTGCATTTGGACATTTATGAAGTAAAAGACTCATATAATACTTATATTGCACTTTATTTTGAGTAACCCCTCATACCCAATCATGTTATAGATTGGAAGAGTGTCATTTTAAATTTATTTTCCTTGGTAACTTTTAATATTTGTTTATCTTCATTGTCATGCAGGGGGGTACCTCCATCACCAAGATCTGATCATGCTGCGGCGGTACATGCAGAGCGTTACCTTCTTATTTTTGGTGGGGGCTCACATGCTACTTGCTTCAATGATTTGCATGTCCTTGATTTGCAAGCTGTAAGATAATTGCTCTTTTGGGTTTTTGCATTTTGCATGTACTTGTATGAGGAATCAGTATCTCTATCTTTAATGTATTTGGATTTGTAGATGGAATGGTCAAGACCCACACAACAAGGTGAGATACCAACTCCTAGAGCTGGTCATGCAGGTGTGACAGTTGGGGAGAACTGGTTTATTGCTGGCGGTGGAGACAATAAAAGCGGTAAATGACTCACTTCAAAAATCAAATAGAAGATTTTTATTATTGTTCCTTGGACCTAGACCCCCCAGTACATGCTTAGTTTTGGTGTTATTGAACTGTCAGTTTGGTATGAAGATTAGAAACAGCTAGGTGGGATCTGTTGGTTGTGTGAAAAAGAATACTTTTATTACAACTGCTTAATGTTTATTGTTTGTCCTATTCTCTTCTTGCAGGGGCATCAGAAACTGTCGTCCTTAATATGTCCACCCTCGTATGGTCAGTTGTGACATCAGTTCAAGGACGTGTTCCTCTTGCTAGTGAGGTATTTTACATTTTACAGATGCTTGTTGCCTTTAAAATGCTACCCATGCGGCAATCTCTATTTGGATTGCATAATCATATGCATATTGGTATTTGTATGTATAAGAAATGCTGTAATGTTAAAACTTCTGTGTGTCAATTCAACAAGAGATGATAGAAAGATGCATGTAAATAAAGTGGACTTTCTGCATATGACGTTGTGCTTCTTTGTAATTACTATGATCATTTGACTGGATTGTCTTTAATAACTTTTCATCATGTTCATTCTTATCAATTAACTTCATCATCTTCATCGGTTTAAACTTAATAAATCGTTCCATGGAAATAGTTGAAACTTTGGAAGCTCTGTATCTCTTCAAGAGGAATGTCAATACTTTATTAAGTCATGGAGAAAAGAGGTTCTTTTTTTTTATCTTTTTTTGTATGTAACACTCACGTGTTAACATTGAACAATTTATATAGTTCTGGTCTATCAGTCTTTATAAATAGCAGATAACTTCTGCTCCAGTGATTGAAGTTGTGAAATTACTATCTGCTGGTCTATTATTGCAGGGCTTGAGTCTGGTTGTGGGCTCCTTCAATGGTGAAGATATACTTATATCTTTTGGAGGATATAATGGGCGTTACAACAGTGAGGTACAAACAATTCTAGCCTCTTCTGTATATGAGTTTATGTTTTTGTTTGATCTTTTATGTTTTGCTGCTAGGTTAATGTTCTTAAGCCAAGTCACAAGTCAACCTTGCAATCAAAGATAATGGAGGCTCCTGTTCCTGATAGTGTTTCTGCAGTGCATAATGCCACAAATCCTACCAGAGATTTGGAGTCTGAGTTTGAAGTTGGTCAAGAAGGAAAAATACGAGAAATTGTTATGGATAATGTTGACTCGGAGCCCATGGTATGTAATATTTTGATATTGCATTTACCATTCAATTCCATTTAAGTTCATTGAAAATCTGCTGGCTGAAATCTTCTGTTATAAAGTACATGCGTGCTTTACATATGTCTTGAATGCTTTCGTTGTATGTGTCTGATATAATGGATTTAATATATATACTTCATAACATTCATATTACTTTTGACCTCTGCAGAACTTTTATCTATTCTTGAGGTTGCCACTTTGTAGTGAATTATTAGTTTATTTATAAGTTATTTACTCTTTTACATACAGATTGTCATATTTGCCAATTTATTTCTTCTGCTTAAGTTTAGAGTGTGTGCAGAAATCCAAAGGTGAGGAGACCAGTGAGCGTGTTATAGCAACACTCAAGGCGGAGAAGGAAGAGCTGGAATCATCACTCAACAAGGAGAAGTTGCAGTCTCTCCAGCTAAAGCAAGAACTAGCAGAAGCTGAGGCTCGAAACACAGACTTGTACAAGGTAATTTCTTGTTTGGCAACAGTGGTGTGTATTAGGTTAGACTTGTTTCTCACTAAAATTTTTCTATATCTTAGGAGCTCCAATCTGTACGTGGTCAACTAGCTGCCGAGCAGTCAAGATGTTTCAAATTGGAGGTATGTTCAAATCAAGAGAACAAAGTTATTGCTTATAATGGAATATTATCTGTTTTTTTGCAATGGATTCTCCCTTTTGAATGGGCATTCAAACTCTGATTTCCTTTAATGCAACCATTCTCCAACGCTGTAAAATGAGAATTTAAAAGCAGGTAAGGTTCACAAATACATCATGGTGCATTCCAGTTGAATTCGAAATATGCTCGAACTTAATTTTTAGTATGAATTTATTTGGAAGATAGGGTGTCACGGTTTACTTCACGATCATGCGTTTATGCAGACTGTTTTAATTACTACTGTTAAGAGTTAGTTTATACAAGGGCTAGTCCGACTCTAACCGTTGTCTAATCCTCTCGAATCAACAGGTTGATGTTGCAGAGCTGCGGCAGAAGCTTCAGACGATGGAAACACTACAAAAGGAACTCGAACTTCTGCAGCGACAAAAAGCTGCATCTGAACAAGCCGCCTTAAATGCAAAGAGGCAGGGCTCAGGTGGCGTATGGGGTTGGCTTTCAGGAAGCCCTCCACAAAACGCTGCTGACGATGCCTGATGCCTGAAAATTCAATCGAAAGCCCTAATTAAATAGTGATCGCTAGATTTATTCTCATTGATAAAATTTTTGGGTCAAAATATTTTTTTTTTATTTACTTAACCAAGGTTCTTTCTTCGATGGGAAATAAGATATCTAGTTTAGGCTTGAATGGGAGACCCCTCCCGGCGTTTTTGCATGAATACATATGTCTCGTAGATTATAGTTTCAGTTTATTATACAGTTTACATATGGCTGTTGGTGCAATACATTTTTCTGTTTACCAAAATTCTTATCAGAATTTGTATTCAAAGAGTATGGTACTTGAGTGAAAAAGCATATAGGGTTCTATTGTTTGCCAGCAAATTTTGTGAGGATATGGTTTGATGTGATATTAATTCGAGAGAATTTGATCATGTTTGGTATTATGTACTACTACTAGGGAATATCAACGGGGAGTTTGACATTTTCAATATGGCTGTTCACTGGAATATTTTGAGACTTCTTTCTTAATCTTTTGAATTGAATTTAAAAAGTTACTTGAGTTATGTATGGGTTAAAAATGATTTCGTGCCTTTACTTTAAATTTTAATAATAATATATATTTTATTTAATAAAAAAAAGAAGTTAAGTTGATTGGATAAAATTTTAAACTCTCTCTTATATTTTTTATGGCTTATCGGTGGATTTCATTTATATTTTGTTGGTGGTATCGTAGTCTTTACTTAATCTTTCTCTCTCGGATTCAAGGGGATCGAATTTGTGACTTGTTGGATATAAAATTGAGATTCAGAATTACCTTTGAATCATTTGAACTGGAATTGTGTCTTTGACCCATCGTTGTATCTGTTTTTGTCTAAGGTATTTGATGTAATTGGAGCCCTAGCCCAGTATTCTAATAGAACCAAAATAAATAACAGCCATTCTCTACAGAGTCTGTTGTGACCCAACCCATGGTCTGCGCTAAAGCCCCATCTCAGGCCCGACCCGATTAGATAACATCACTTCCTTAACCCTGAAGGATAAAGTTCGTGTTTGCTTTTGATAAATCCTAAAGGCCAAAATTAACACGACAAGGAATTAATTCCTCTGGAAGCAATTCATGCATGCATAGTAAATACAGCTCCAAACCACACGCCTCCTACGCGTCTCAGCCACCTCCCTGCATCACACCTCATAATGTAAACGCTTTTGACCCAAATTATTGTTCCTCCACCCTTGAATAACTACTTTTTAATTCAATTAATTAACTAAAAAGACCTAAAATCAAATTATTCTTATCTATTTTTTTTTATAATTTTCATGAAAATTAAGATAATATTTTATGTTAAATTTAAAAAAATTAAAGAATTTAGTACGAGCATATCTAATAGACGCGGAGAATATATTCTAGTTCCCACCCGAAAACTCTTTTCCTTAGCAATAAAATCTCCCCTGGAGGCGGTTTCAAGCCACCGATCCTTCCTGTTTCTTTCCTTTTCTGTTTTCTTCCCCCTAAATCTCTCCCTTTATATATATATATCCTTTCGCCTCTTCGATCCAAACCCAAGTTTCAGAATCTGTTGAAAAACCCTCTATTGAATTCTCAACGGAAATCTCATTCTCTGTGCGACTTTTTCGTTTGGTAGAAGATAACATGGAGTTTAGGCCTTTGGAGATCAATCTTATCTCAGGCAAGGACCTGAAGGAGGTCAATCTATTCACCAAGATGGACGTGTATGCTGTGGTTTCAATCAATGGCGATCATCGTACGTCGCAGAAGACTCCTGTCGACAAAGACTGTGGCTCCAACCCCAAGTGGAATTACACCATGAGGTTCACCGTAGACGAGGCTGCAGCCCGACAGAACCGGCTTAGCCTCGTGTTCCGTCTGAAATCCGAACGTCAGCTTGGAGACAAAGATATCGGTGTTGTCCAAGTGCCCATCAAGGAACTGCTCGATCACAACAACGGGGACGAGAAGGTTGAGCAGAACGTGAGCTACAGCGTGAGGTTGCCTAACGGCAAGGCAAAGGGTGTCCTGGATTTCTCTTACAAGTTTGGAGAGAAGTTCAGCAAACCTGTTTCGCAACCTCAAGTTCCAGGGGCTGAAGCCATGTACGTAGACAAACATGGGGAGAAGCCAGCCATGGCTTATCCACCGCCACCGGTTGGTTATCCAGGACCAAGCTCTGGACACCCTCCTCCTCCTCCGGCAGGAGCATATCCACCACCGCCCCATGGCATGGCAGGCTACCCCTATCCTCCACCAGGTGGTGCATATCAACCGTATGGATATCCCGCTCCAGTTTATGGATATCCAGGATATCCTCCTGCAGCTCAGGGTGGATATGGTTACCCTCCAGTGCAGAAGCCGCAAAAGCCCAAGAAGAGTGGCATGGGAGCAGGGTTGGGTTTGGGGTTGGCTGGTGGATTGTTGGGTGGAATGTTGCTTGGTGATATGGTTGGAGATGCTTATGAGGCTGGTATTGAAGATGGGCTTGATTTTGATTTCTAATTCATCTCTTTTCTTTCTGCTCTTTAGGTTGTTGAGACTGTAAATGTGGATCAATCATGGGTTTGAGTTGAGTGTAATCAATTGCAACTTTTCTGCAATGTTCTCGAGGGCACTGATTTTGTTGCTTTTGGATTTGATAGAAGATTGAATTTATTCTTTCATGTATGGAATCATCACCTTTAATCTTCATTTTTGTCATTAACAAATGGTTTGAAGCATTTATTCCCTATAAACTAATACAAGAAAACAAATACCACTACAAAAAGGCAGAGAATCATTTCAAGTTACAAGCATGACAAGGGCTTGTTCAATATGCTCCAAATCTTCTAGATATTGTCTTACCAAAATCAACTTTCATTTGTTCAATGTTTTGACCAATTGCTATTTCCATTTCTGGATAAGGACAAAAGAATAATAAAGGGTTAATTACTATACATACTCTTAGTAGACCAGCCAACCTATGAAGATTTTGTTGTTTTTCTTCACTTAATTAATCTCCTTTAATTTCGAAGAATCTTCTTTTAATTTCAAAGAATGGATATATGAACACAATACATGTAAAAAAGATGTCAAATATTCGGTGACATGCTTGTATTAATTTTTTACAATAAATATTGTATTTACATGCATACATTAACACGCGTTAAGATTATTAAATGACAAAATTAAATTTGATAATAAAAATTTATATACATGTTTTGATTTAATTAAATTTATGTTCATTTTCGGTATCACCTGAACAATGAAGTGTCGAAAGTTTTATCTTACAGTTGTTTCTGCTCAAGGTCTAATAGATGAATCAAACGTCTATGTATAGGTTTCACTCCCAAGACTCCCAAGGCAAAACCGGAAAATCCAATCCGGTTTCAAGAAGAGCTGGTGGTGAAGCTGATTTTACATGGAATTTCAGGGTGGAGTATGGGATAATTGATGATTTTGTAATCCATACTGCCCCTGATTCTGAATACTTCTTGCACATCAAACTCAAATCCTGGAAGCTCCTCAGGAACAACAAAGACATTGCTTTAGTTAGATTGCCCATGGAACATCTCCTTCTTGATGATGAACATGAAGAATCCGATTTCATTGAAGTTCCCGTCAATGATTCTTCAGAGAATCGGATAGGCACCTTGAAGTTTTCATGTTGGTTTGAAACACCCAAAACCAAAGTCATTGGGCCGAAAACTAATATAAGATAATGTGTTTCCAAGGTCATTTTCCTTGATCACATTAACTAGTAAGGTCATATGCAAAAAGAGAAGTTGCATCAAATCTAACAGTAATTATATTATCATTAATCCGAAAAACTTCATTGATTCAAAATAAAAGTAAAAGAACTTGTTCGAGTATATAGTACCCAGACTTTTCTAAGGTTTATGCACAAGTTCTTTAATGTACTTGAAGCAACCTTTATCAACAGCAGGCCTTTTTCTTCTACCTGATCCAAGAACAAGATATAAACTAAGGGGCAACCAGCTTTTCTTCGTCAACATATCAATATTTGTCCATCACATAACAGGACTTTGTCATCTTCATTAATCAGGTAAACTAGAATGGAAAGTATGACCAATTTGGAAAATTTTCAAGCTGTTAGTGACAGTATTGAGACAAACGATTATCGATTCTTATGGCCAGTAAAAGTCAAGACCAAGACTGAAAGCTAACTTACTTTCATTTACATTTGATATATACACCCTATATCTGTTCTTTACAGTTGAAGTTTTCCTCTTAATAGTATCTTCAGTCTGACTTCGAAAATGTTTCTTCTGGCTTTAAGAAATTGTGAGCTTCAAGTTGAGACATCGGTCCACCATTCACTGGGTCAAACTTGCATCGAAGGAAGCTGCATTAACAAGATAACGAAACAAAACTATTCATGTTAGACTGTTCTGACCAATCAAGAAGTCTCATGGACTAAGGATAACTGAAGAGGCCTTTAGAGCCACCTGAGTAACATATGAAAATCAAAATTACAGTAACTTCAACGACATGACAGAGCCATGAATATTCATGTTGATGTGCCAACAGAATCATTTAACATGTAAAATCCAGACTTTGTCGATAATTTTAGGCAAATAACCATTAAAGTACCATATGCTGGGTAACAATCTATGTCATTAGCCCAGCCTGCTGATACAGTGAATTAAACAAGCATCAGTCAATAACAACAAAAAAAAAATCCTAAACACCATGTATTCTCAATTACCTTCCATCCATGCCAATAATCATGACTGTGTTTTTTTGTTGTCCAAAACTAACAATGTAGTGTGTGCCTTCAGGCAGCCGAAATTGAGCCACTGACCACTCTGAGCTGAAATACTTTGGCAATACACCTACAAAAGTCACAAACCTCAAATAAGCTTGACAGATAAAAACAGCCAACCCTCATAAACATAAAGTGGGAGCAATTGAGGAATAATAGGCTTGTATGTCAAGCACTCCCTTCATGCATGTAGTTCTTGATCTATGCTTCACCAAATTCAGTAATCCATAAAGCCAAAGTTCAAAACTAGATCTAAGTCAAAAAGGTTAAAAACTCTCTAGTTTCTACTCAATCCCTAGTTGAATGTTCACACAACTAAAAGGAAGTAAAAAGCAGAGGGCTGTACCTTTTAAAATAGAAAGGGATGATAAAGCTGATTGATTAGAAAGAGGTGATTCAGATGCACTGCTTGACCCATCATTCCCTAAAACTACAGAATCAACCTTGAGGCTGAAGACATGGACCGTTCCTTTGTCACTTGAGACAGCTAGCCACTGGGCAGTGGAAGAGAAAGCAAGGCTGAATATCTCTGCTCGGTCTGCCCCTCTCCTTACCTGCATTAAGCACCAAGTTGTGAACTTAATGTATAGATTGCTCAAAAACCTCCAGCTGCCAGAAATTACCCCAAATAAAATCATAGATAACTTGCAAGCAGGAAAATAACAAACAATTCAAAGAATCTCAATGAACAACCTACAAAATCCCGACAAACCACTCATCACTTGCCCAAAACTTTTAAAAAAGTCCAAATGAGAAATCCTGCAGAAGATTTGTGGATCTTAACAAGAGGAAAATGAAAGAAGAAAAAAACAAAACTTGCCTCCATAGTTGCCAAAAACAAATCAAGGTCATCAAAAACAACAAGCCATCCAGAAAGAACACTATATGACAATTCTGTGGCATCGAAAACAGCTTCTAATGTAGGCAGTAATTTTAGCCAAGTCTAAAGGTTTTGAAGCATGACTTCAAATCCATTAAATTTTCCTTTTGTAATCAACAACAGAACCCTTTTCCCCCCAAGCCTCCACCCCCTTCCATACAAGCTACTCGCACATTCATTCTCATTCCTCTAGTTCAGACATTCAATCATTCAATTTCGAACTGTGCTTCAACATTGAGCTTTGACTAATTATTTCTACAAGATGTTAACATCAAACACTATTTTCAAAAAATCTTCTTGTCAATTTTAAAACTAAGTAGTCCATTAATCCCTACATTGAAACCAACCTTTTAACACTCATCCTTTAAACACCCACACATCTACTCCTTAAAAGGAAAAAAATTCAAAACCAATTCACATACTACACTTCTTAATGTTACTCCATGTTTACTCGCGAGTTAAAATAACATCAAAATTCATATTTAATTTTTAAAGACAGAAAGGAGGCGGCTAACTAACTTAACAGATAAAATCCTTCGATGAAAATCATAGTCAGGCAGTACTAATTATCATCTTACCTCTTGAATCAATGTCCCATCCAAAGCATTAAAAACTCTAATTAAAGTTCCTTTAGCACTAGCAGTGGCCAAGACCCTGCCATCATAAGTCAAAGCCAAGCACGTGATGTTCGAACTATGAGCATTTATAAATGTAGTCCTTTTACTCCCGTAATTTTCTACTCTCACTGCTCCCTTCTGCAGCCCCGGGCAAACCAACACCATGGGTCCAGACACCTGCGAAACCTCGCACAAGCCCTTTGGATTCGACGTCGTTTCCAGCTGGTGCAACAGTTTGAAGTCCGACAAGTTGTAGACGTAGATTTTGTGGAGGAGGGCAACGACGATGGTATCGCGGCGGAGGCGGAGGGAGCGGATTGGGGAACGAAAGGACAGCTCGCCGACGCAGCGGGAGACGTTGTCGTCCCAAAGGAGGGCTTTGGTGTTGGCGTTCGTGTTGACGGCGGCAGGGGAGGGAGAGGAGCCGACGAGGGCAAAGAGTTGGAAGCGGAAGAGCATGGAGACGAGGGACAGACCGGCGTTGAAGTCGCGACGGAATTGAGGGCCGTAAGGGTCGGTGCTGAAAACGAGGAAGCCGCAGTCGGTGGCGGCGGAGAAGCAGGTGTTGTCTTGGTTGAAGGAGACGTGGTGGATGGTTAATGGGTTCTGGTTCCGGGCTTGGGTTGTACCCGGAGACGAGTCCGGGTCGGTTTGCGGAAGGGTCTCGCCGGAGGAGGACATGAGGGAGGGAAAAGGTGGGGACTGGTAGGAAGGACTTATCAAAAGGAAAAGCAAATTAGAGAAAATTGACGTACAAGTTTGAGGCATTTATATGTTTACCTTCTCTGAGGTTTAATATTTATCTCCTTTTGTTTTATTATCATATTTAATAATAAATTAATAATCAAAGAAGAGTTTAATTAAGGGAATTTGAGATTAAGACGAGATGTTTCGTTTCTATAAAAATTATACTTGTTTAATTAATTAAATTATCATATTTATAATATAATTTAGACATAATATTTAAAAATTTTATAAATTAATTTTAAAAAATTTAATAAACTTATTTTTATTATTTTAACATAACATATTAAAATAACATAATAACATCATCATATAATATTTTCATTCTTCACATCAATTTTACGTCAATATAAAATAATCAATAATTTTTTTAAAAAATAATATTTTAATTAATTAATTAATAATAATAATAATTTACTTGATTCACAATTAAAATAATAAAACATGTGAGATGGTCAATTGGGACGATACTCTCGTTAAGTTTTGGATCAATATTTGAGTAGGTAAAATATTATTGATCAATTTTGTAACAGAAACAAGTTTCATGTCAAATTCAAATATACGAATAAAAAATTATATCATACTTAATGAAAATTGGAACAAAGAGAGGTTAATAGCTATTCTACCAGTCGAAATGGTGAATCAAATCCTTTACATTATTCCCCCACCTTATCGGTTTCATCAGATATGTCTTACTAGACTCTTTCTTCCTATGGATAGTTTACTATTTCTTCAACATATGAACATTTAGGGGGCTTCGCTGTTTCTAGTCAAGTAGAGAACAAAAATATGTGGAACCTGGCTTGGGATTGGAAAGGTCCTTAGAGAATTTGTTTTTTCCTATTTCTTTGTTTGAATAAACGCATCTTGACAAATGCAGAAAGAGTTAGACGCAGGCTTTCATCAGATGCGTCATGTCCTCATTGTCATGGTGTAGAGGAAACATGCCTTCACTTGCTTAGAGATTGTTCTGTAGCAGAGGCTCTTTGGAGGCGCATACTACCTCAAATGGTTATTAATGAATTCTTCCAAGCACCATTACTCGATTGGATGTCCAAGAACCTTAGTCTTCAGCATCTCTACACATTTGATGCCCCCTGGAACATTGTTTTTGCTATAGCTTGCTGGTACATTTGGAAATGGCGAAACTTGTTTATATTTGAAGGTTGTGAACCCTCCATAGAAGGCCAATTGAGTATAATCAAAAGCATGGCTGTGATATCATAACACATGGACAACCCATCCATTGCCAAGTGGGGGATTGAGTCGACGAAGAAAATCCTAGTGGGATGGATTCGGATGGGGCCTACAAGAGTGCAGTAAGGACTGCTTCTACCGGGGAGTTTTGAGAGACACACATGGTAGTTGGCTAGTGGGATATGCATGCAAGCTAGAGACAAGTTCAGCCTACCGAGCGGAGTTGTGGGGGCTCTACAACGGTCTCCAGTTGGCATGGGAAAGAGGCTTCCGCAAAGTTAAATTACAAATTGATAATAAGGCAATGGTTANGGATCGGTTGTCACCGTACTCATCCTGTCCTAACCTAGATGTAATTAGAGCAATTAAAGACTTGTTAGTAGGCATTGGAAGGTTAGTATAAGTCATATACATATATATATATATAATAATAAGGCAGTGGTTCAGGGAATCGGTTGTCACCGTACTCATCCTTGCCCTAACCTAGATGTAATTAGAGCAATTAAAGACTTGTTAAAGTAGGCATTGGGAGGTTAGTATAAGTCATATGTATATATATATATATATATATATATATATATATATATATAGGAAAAGAAACAAAATTACTAACTCACTTTATGACTAATTTAGGATTTGAGTTAAATTTTAATATTTTTTTATATAATTGTCAATCAGAAAAAATGTCTTGTCTACTCCTGAATAATATGATGAAAGTCTGCACTCCACATTTGATTAATCAATAAATTTCACTTAAAATAATAAAAGAATAATTTTTTTAATTTTTTTAAATAACTCAACTATTTTCAACAAAATGTCTATAACTTATTTAATTTACTTATAATACTTATTTAAATAAATTAATCATATTAATTGTGTTTAAATAAATTTATTATATCATAATCATATAGTGTTTTATAAAATTTAGTCTTGACTTATTTAATAGACATTAATCTCCTTGTATCGAATATCTGTTATGATAAACACATCCATCATCTGTTTAATTAATTTTATTGTATTTGTATTTTTTTTTTATATAACTGTTAATATCTTACCTAAACCCATCAAAATTATAGCAGGATAATACAAATGCAATCATATCTATGATCCTGCCCAAAGTTTGAATCAAATGCATACAATTGACTTTCCAGTGTTTTTTCTCTATTGCTTTCTTTATCAAAATCTGTAAAAAAACAATTAACATAGAGATGAATTACAGTCTCTCACAAATCTGGATTGGCCTCCTCTGGGATCACAGTCAACATCACCTCTTCATCATTTGCTCTTTTCACAACAACCTTCAAAGGTTTCCCGATTCTATCATCCATTATCTCAACAATCTGCCATGGATTTGCAAACATCAGGGTCTAAATTCAATGTAAATCATAAGAGCTATTAGCCGGGGAAGTAAGGCGGTTGGTATTGCAAAAACACAATTTAAATAAAGTACCTCCTTGATACTTTCAACCAGTTTCCCATCAAATTCAACAACAACATCACCTGGACGGAATCCAGCTAGATCAGCTGGGGAACCTGGGGTTACCTGGAAAAAAATTTGAAGCACCGGGAAGATACAGATGTCAATCTGATTTACTTGGATAGCAAATGAAAAATAATTTCAGGGGAATAAAAAAGGCAGAAAAAAGCAGAACCGAAAATAACGAGGGAAGGAAGGAACTAACATAAACATACCATAGGTACAAGAATGCCTTTCTCAATTTTAGGGAATTTGGGATCTCTTTCTCTAAGCTGAGCAATGATCATCTCATTAAGATCAAGCATTTTCAATCCAAGCCAAGGCCGAATAACTCTCCTGCTCAAAATATCAATTTGGCTAATGCATATAATCTTTGAAGCCAGAAGAGATTTGGAGGAAAGCTAACTATGTAAACATATCAAGAGGGTAAAACTTTGTCATGTGGTTTGATGTCCTATATAAAATTATATATAATATAATAACAAGCAACAAGATTCGGCTGCAGAATTAAATATGTTGCCCTGAGTCATTAGATGCGGTAAGCTCTATCAATGTCAGGAAAGATCAATAAGCCCATTACTATAAACACACAAAGTATTTCACCAAGTAGTTGAATAAGGAGGTGATCATACCCACTATTCTTGAAATGCTCTATAATTTTGGAAACCGAGTCAACCGGTACAGCAAAACTCAATCCATCTGCAGCTACCACTTTCATAATATTAACTCCAACGATCTCCCCATCAATATTAACAAGGGGGCCACCAGAATTTCCCTTAACCAGAAGAGTAGAGAGATTAGATTAGTATGTCCACAAGAGGTACAGAATTGTACAAATCAAAACAGGACAAACTAGTTTTAGCAAAATCTCTTGCCGTTCTTATCCTTGTTTTTCCTTAAAAAATCCAGTATACATACCAAGCTATTATAAGCAAGGAGCTAAGCACAAAACATGCCAATGAACATGAGTAAATTTATGGCCAATTTCACAATGTTAAGCTACAATTCTACCATATCCATAACTATGTCTTCAAATCTATTTCAATGAACAAATCGACGTCATTTAGTCTTACACAATCCAACAGCAGTTCAAATGGTACTGCACTTTTCAAAAGGGCAATCACCATTCATGAGAATCACCCAAATGCATACACATTTACATAATGAACATGCTCATAACCACAGCTGCAACACATTTATTAGTGCACACAAGCTGAGACAAAGAGAATACCGCATTGATTGCACAATCTGTTTGCAAATACTCTCTACGCATCCCTCCTAGACCCAAATCACTGCTTTTACGATCAACACAACTAAACAATGGGGCAACATAGACAGAAAACTATATCAGTAGCCAATCAGAGAAAACTTCAATTAACATAACACATTCAAAGTCTCTTTTTCCTTCACCATAAATTATATGAAGGACATAAAATCCATATCAACTAACACCAATAAACTGACTACCAAGCACAGAAATAGCCGAAAAATTTATTAGTCCAAAATTTCCAAAATAGACTTGAAAGATCCTAAATAAAAATCATCAAACCAAAAAAACAAATTTAGTGTCCAAAAAAGTACCTCACAATACCCGCTGTAATAGTATTCTGAAGGGAAAGAGGGCAACCCATGGCTATCACCCAGTCCCCAGGACGAAGATTGCTTGAAGAACCGAATTTTGCAGTTGGAAGTGGAGTTTTAGATTTGATCTTGACAATTGCAATATCAGAATGTAAATCAGCATTCACTACTGTACCCTCAAACGTTCGGCCATCTTGCAAAGTCACATCAACCTGCAGCCATTAATCATATCCCAAAACAAAAGATAGATAAACAAGAAATCAAATGCAGTCCTCACAAAAGAAAATCTAATAAAAATCAACTGCTTACTCATAAATGCAGTTCCTAGAGTTCAATCAATGAGAAGCAAGACATCATCTAAAGTAAATCAATCTATCAGCAAGCATTTTTGAACCTGGAAATTCTCATACACATGACAGTTTCAACAGCTGACCTTCCCCTTGATTGTGGATCGCATGCCTTGAAAATCAACCACAACATGAGCACATGTTAAAATTGTACCATCTGCATCAATAATAGTTCCAGAACCAATACTCCTTCCAGTTGTAATCCCATAGATACCTGTACAACAAAAAGTTACCAGCAAACCATGCAATCATTCTTCAATAAAAAAAAAAATGCTCATAGGTCAAAATGCAAATCAAAATATGCCTCGAAACAATACCTTGTGGGACAGACAGATTGACAACAGCAGGACCAACCTTTGCAGCTGCATTTGCTATAGAATCTCTGCTTAAACATCCACAACATGGTTTTTTATCATCCCCAACCGCTACTGGGCCTTCTTTTGTATTATCCCCAGCTGAAGCAGCACTAACTCTAGATGAAAACAATGGCAAATTTCCTACAAATGCATACAAAACATAAGCTACATAGATAATCAACAAAAGAGGCAATCAAATTAAAAGAAAGAAAAAAAAATGTGGATAACTTAAATGTAAGAGCAAAGAACAGGACAAACCAATTTCCCAATGATCAGAGGAACGAAACGACCGGCGCCATTGAACTGAAAGGTGTTCACGCAATGGTGCAGGAATTGACAGCTTCACAGCTGTTTCTAGAATTCAACCCAAAGTAAGCAATACGAATACCGAAGCACTCAAGACATAAAGCAAATCATAAAGCAAGAAAAAGAAACAATTTTCGAGCAACTGAGAGCTTACTGGAATCTGGGTTCGTATTCCAATAAATAAGACCGGAACCGGCAGTGCCAATGGCAACGATCCGAATTACCGAGGTTCTGCTACAAGAAAAGCAGGCTTTTCTCTGACAAAATGAACACATAAACAGAAGTGCTGAGTCATTTGAGGTAAAAATATCGATTAGCAACTGAAAGATTGACTGAAATTTACCAATAAACGAATCATTAGTAGATTCCAATGTCAAAATTCCTGAGCCTGGATTGTCCTTTGGCTACGATCTTTGCTTTTCTTTTACTGCTTTGCTAGGAGCTAGTCCTTAAATCCTAGCAAAGCCCAGAATTGTTCGAGAACAGTTTCACGAAGAATGTGGATTTGGGCTGGGACGAAGCATTTGTAAGCAAAGCCCAATGACGCATAAAACGGAGCTCAAAGTAATATTTTTATTAATTACATTTAATTAGTTATTAGTAACAAGAATTTATTTTATTTAAAATAAAAAATAAATTTCTATTTCATTTTTTTTAAAGAAGTCAAATCTATTTTGAGCATAATGTCTATAACTTATTTAATTTGTTTAAAATACTCATTTAAACAAATTAATTATATTTAAATAAATTTATTATATCATATACCTGAGATATATTTTATCAAATTTAATGTTTGACTTGTTTAATAGACAAGTTAATCTTCTCATGTCCAATATCACTTGTATTAAAAATATTTATAATCTATTTAATTAATGATATTATATTTAAATTTTTTCATATAACTGTTAATATCGTATCTAAACACAACAAAATTATAATATGATAATACAAACGGTTAAATCCAATCATATCTCAAATAAATGTATGAATATCTATGATCCTGCACAAAGTTTAAAGCAAATTTAAACTGAGAAGATAGCATACAATTGACTTTCCAGTGTTTTTTCTCTATTGCTCTTTCTCAAAATCTGTCAAAAAAAATTAACATAGAGATGAGTTACAGCCTCTAACATATATGGATTGGCCTCAGCTGGGATTACAGTCAACGTAACCTCTTCATCATTGGCTCTTTTCACAACAACCTTCAAAGGTTTCCAGATTTTATTTTCCATTATCGGAACAATCTGCCATAGATTTGCAACTCAAAAACATCAGGGTGTAAATTCGATGTAAATCATAAGCTATTAGCCAGGGAAGCAAGGTGGTTAGAAATAAAGTACCTCTGTCATACTTTCAACAGGTTTCCCATCAACTTTAACAACATCACCTGGACGGAGTCCAGCACGATCAGCTCGAGAACATAGGGATACCTGGAAAAAATTGGAAGCACGGGGAAGATACAAATGTCAATCTGATTTACTTGGATAGCAAATGAAAAATAATTTCAGGGTGAATAAAAAGGGCAGAAAAAAGCAGAGCCAAAAATAACGAGGGAAAAAAGGAACTGACACAAACATACCATAGGAACAAGAATGCCTTTCTCAACTTTAGGAAATTGGTCACCTCTTTCTCTAAGCTGAGCAATATTCATCTCGTTAAGATCAACCATTGTCAATCCAAGCCAAGGCCGAAAAACTCTCCTGCTCAAAAATCAATTTGGCTAATAATGCATATAATCTTTGAACCCAGAAGAGATTTGGAGGAAAGCTAACTATGTAAACAAATCAAGATGGTAGAACTTTGTCATGTGGTTTGATGTCCTATGTACAATATAATAACAACAAAATTCAAAAGCAGAATCAAATATATTGCCCTGAGCAATTAGTTGCAGTAAGTTCTATCAATGTCAGAAAAGATCAATAAGCCTCATTACTATAAATACAGGAAATATTTCAACAAGTAGTTCCATAAGGAGATGATCATACCAACTATTCTTGAAATGCTCTATAATTTTGGAAACCAAGTCAACTGGTACAGCAAAACTCAGTCCATCTGCTGCTGCCAATTTCAAAATATTAACTCCAACAATCTCTCCATCAAGATTAACAAGGGGGCCACCAGAATTTCCCTGAACCAGAACAGTAGAGAGATTACATTAGTAGATCCCCAAGAGCTACAAATCATACAGATCAAAACAGGACAAACTAGTTTTAGCAAAATCTCGTCATTCTTATCCTTGTTTCTCCTTAAAAAGTCTGCTGCACATACCAAGCTATTATGAGAAAGGAGCTACGAACAAAACATGCCAATGAACATGAGTAAGTTTATGGCCAATTTCACAATGTTAAGCTACAATTCTACCAGATCCATAACCATGTACTCAAATCTTTTTCAATGAACAAATTGATGTCGTTTAGTCATATAAAATCCAACAGCAGTTCAACTGGTACTGCACTTTTCCAAAGGGCAATCACCATCCATGAGAATCACCCAAATGCATACACTTTTACATAATGACCATGCTCATAAGCACAGATGTAACATATTTATTGGTGCACACAAGCTGAGAGAAAGAGAGTACCATATTCATTGCACAATCAGTTTGCAAATACTCTCTGTGCATCCCTCCCAGACCCAAATCACTGCTTGCACGATCAACACAACTAAACAATGGGGTAAAATAGACATTCAATTAGTCTAACACATTCAAAGTCTCTTTTTCTTTCACCATATATAATATGAGGGATCCATATCAACAGACACCAATAAACTCACTACCAAGTACAGAAATAGCCATAAAATTTATTAGTCCAAAATTTCCAAAATAGATCATGTACATGTCAAATAACTTGAAAGATCCACCATAATAATCATTAAAGCAAAAAAACGAATTTAGTGTCCGAAAAAGTACCTCACAATACCCACTGTAATAGTATTCTGAAGGGAAAGAGGGCAGCCCATGGCTATCACCCAGTCCCCAGGGCGAAGATTGCTTGAAGAACCAAGTTTTGCAGTTGGAAGTGGAGTTTTAGATTTGATCTTGACAATTGCAATATCAGCGTGTAAATCAACATTCACTACTCTACCCTCAAACTTTCGGCCATCTTGCAAAGTCACATCAACCTGCAGACATTAATCATATCCCAAAACCAAAGATAGGTAAACAACCAATGAAATGGAGTCTTCACAAAAGAAAATCTAATAAAAGTCAACTGCTTACTCATAAATGCAGTTCCTAGAGTTCAATCAATTAGAAGAAAGAAATCCTCTAAAGTAAATCAATCTATTAGCAAGCATTTGTGAACCTGGAAATTCTCATGTACATGACAGTTTCAATTGCTGACCTTCCCATAGATTGTGGATCGCAAGCCTTGAAAATCAGCCACAACATGAGCACATGTTAAAATTGTACCACTTGGATCAATAATAGTTCCAGAGCATATATTCCTTCGAGTTGAAATCCCATAGATACCTGCACAACAAAAAGTTACCAGCAAGCCATGTGATTATACTTCAATAAAAAGAATGCTCATAGGTCAAAATGCAAATCACAATATGCCTTGAAACGATACCTTGTAAGAAAGACAGATTGACAACAGCAGGGCCAACCTTTGCAGCTGCATTTGCAATAGAATCTCTACCTAAACATCCACAACATGGTTTTTTAGCATCTCCAACCGCTACTGGGGCTTCTTTTTTAGTATCCCCAGCTGGAGCAAGACTAACTCTGGATGAAAACATTGGGAAATTTCCTACAAATGCATACAAAACATAAACTGCATAGATAATAAAAAAAAAGAGGAATTCAAATTAAAAGAAAGAATGCTTCTCAAAAAAAAATTACAAGAAAGAGAAATATATGGATAACTTAAATGTAACAACAAAGAATAGGACAAACCAGTTTTCAAATGATCAGAGGAAAGAAACGGCTGGCACCATTGAAATGAAAGGTCTTCAAGAAATGGTGCAGGAATTGACAGTTTCAAAGTTGTTTCTAGAATTCAACCCAAAGTAGGCAATTAGGATACCCAATTACTCAAGACATATAATGTTAGGTTTATGAGAACATACATCAGATACTCTACGTGGGATTATAGTGAAAATTTCTACTAATTACTTCTTTTTGCTAATTCCCACAGAAAGATGGCAATCTTTTTGGTAATTTCCCCAGAAAGAAGACATACCAAATCATAAAGTAAGGAGAAGAAATAATTTTCGAGGAAATTGAGAGCTTACTAGAATCTGGGTTGGTATTCCAATAAGAAGACACGAACCCGCAGTGCCAATGGCAACAATCCGAATTAGCGAGGTTCTGCTACAAGAACAGGAAGCTTTTTCTCTGACAAAATGAATACATAAACAAAAGTTTTGAGTCATTTGAAATAGGACATCGCTTAGCAACTGAAGAATTCAACAAAAATTACCAAGAAATGATTCGTGAGTGGATACCAAAGCCAAAATGTCTGAGGTTGGATTTTCTTTGACTATGATCTTGCTTTTCTTTTACTAATTGCTATTTCCTTAAATCCTAGCAAAACCCCGAATTGTTCTGGAAGAATTTTACGCAGGATGTAGATATGGGCTGGGACGAAGAATGTGCAAGACGAAACCGCCAATGACCCATAAAACGAAGCCCAGAGCAAACTTATGGTATAACCATTGTATATCAAGAAAGCCCAATTCGAAGATCATGATAACCATATTACTTTGATGAAAATTCATGAATAAATAATCTAGCTTAATGCTTCACAGGATTTAGTTCAACAACCCAACCATTAGCACGGGATTTGAAACAGTAGTCAAAAGGAGGAACCAAATCCCAACGTTTAAGCTACCCAAATATCAATCACCAATCATTTCTGGGCAACTTTCAAGCCTCATTTTTGAGATGCTAATTATAGCAAAAATCATGCAAAGAATTCACGAATGAGGAAACAAAGAAAGCCAAAACCAAAATAGAGCAACAAAGATGGGGAAACAAGCACATATCCATTATCTCTTGAGTCAAATTTTATGCACTAAAAGGATACAAAAAAAAAAAGGAAGAGATCCCTGAGTTCCTAAGAGAACACTAAAAGTAAAAAGGAGTTAAAACATATTTTTTTCATACAAATTTGCCTAATACTACTATAGAATCTTAACTGTCTAAGCTTTTTTGGGAGATTTGGGCTTGGAAACTTTGTCTGACTCAGATGAAGCCGAAGTTTTCTTGGGCAACAACACCGGGTTGATATTAGGAAGGACTCCGCCGCTGGCGATGGTTACTCCTTGAAGAAGCTTGCCTAACTCCTCATCGTTTCTCACGGCTAACAGCAAATGTCTTGGGTTGATCCTGTTTTTCTTGTTGTCACGAGCCGCATTCCCCGCCAGTTCCAACACCTAACCAAAACCAAATTAGTTAAACTCTCAAATTTTCGTATCCAAAGGGAGAAAAAATATCACAGAAACTGATTTTCAGGATCTTGGCATCAATAACTATCACTAGAAATTCGGTTTCCAAAGATCTAAATAAATTTTTTTTTTTAAAAAAAAAAAGAAGAAATGAAAGCTTTTGTTTAAGCAAAAACTAATTGAAAAATCAAAATCAGGCTACAAAATCTGGGAAATGAAACGCCTTTTCCATTGATTTCTCTCTGATCAAACATAATTTTTATAAAAAAATCCAAAAAATTGTAGAGGGAGATAAGGGATCGGATACCTCAGCGGCAAGGTACTCGAGAACGGCGGCGAGATAGATGGGAGCACCGGCACCGTAACGCTGCGCATAACGACCTTTCTTGAGGAACCGGGCGATCCTACCAACGGGAAACTGGAGCCCCGCTTTCAGCGACTTAGAAACCGCCTTCTTCCTCTCTCCTCTCCGTCCTCCCGCTGGCTTCGCCGTCGACTCCATCGAAACTTGAAAAACGACGTCGCCTCAGTTTAAAATTTTCCTTAGTCTTTGGAGGGAAAATAACTGAAATCTGTGGAGAGCTCTGTTTCTTTCCTTCTTCTTTATCTGTTGGATTTGAATTTCGAACGAGAGCGGGCTTTTATAGTACGAGTACGCCACGTTGGCAATCCGTAGCGTCGTGGTTTGACCTAATAAGAATTGGACGGATTAGATTTTATCGGACGGCTGGATTTCATGGGTTTGCCCTTGTGCAGGTATTGGATCGTACGGTCAGGGATTTTCCAGCCTAGGTGATCCGTGTGGTTGGGTTTTGGCCTATTAGGAGTGCTTGGGGCCAAGAGCCAATAGATTTGTTTATATTGTCTATAAACAGACTAAATTGCCCTAGGATAATGTGAATAATATGGTTATTTAAAATTTTATATATAAAAAAAGGTTTCCTAATTGGTAAAGTATACTTTAATTTTTTACGGGTTTTTATTATAGTTGTTAGTTAAGTAATTTACATTTGCAAAATAATAATACCTAAAAAGGAAAACAAAGGAAAAGTAGAAATATTTCTATTAGTTAATCAATTATAAAATGTAACACCCATATCAAAGTATTATTGGTCTAACATCTTTTCGGATCTAAATCAAATCATTTTCAAAAATTTAACATTTTCGATGTAAGATGGAGTACCACATAAAATTATCAACTTAAGGTTATTTGTTTAATATTTTGGACAATGCACTCTTGTATTTGTACAATTTTTTTTCCATCATAGTAGGAACAATATAAAAATAAATAAAAAATACATTATCCAAATTTTTTTAAAAAAAAATTGTAGTATGAACTGAATTTAAACTAAGTCATCATTTTTATCATAATGTTTTAAGTTTTGAGAGAACATCTAAAAAAAGCCTTTAACTTATTTAAATAAATTCAAATAAATTCTTATATTTTTATTATATTCAATCAATTATTTATATTTTTATTTTAAATTAAATAAAACTTTACATTAATGTTTAATTTAATCAAAATATTATTTATCATTTTATATTACATAATACTGATATGACATTTTAACATATTATAATTAATAATAACAGAACATATTAATTTAACATGATAATATAATTATATGACATTTTTTATATTTCACATTAACATATGTCAATGTCATAAATAACATTTTGATTGATAATAAATATTCAATCATTAATCACTTATTTGATCTAAAATAAAAATAAATAAATTGAATTAAATATAATAAAATATAAAAAATTATTTAAATTATCTAAATAATTTAAAAACTTATTTAAAGATTATGTTTAATGTTTTATGTAAACATTGATTACTTTTAGTATTATTATTATTATTATTATTTACTTTAGAAGAAAAGGGATTCAAATTCACAATATTTATGTACAACTTAATTAACGAGTCATTAATAATCAAATTTTAATGAGAAAAAAAATTAAATACACATGTAAAACAATTTAATTTCTCCTGTGTAGATCAAGTTGTCTCTCCATAATTTAAAAGTATTTTTCTCTATCAAGATTAATCTCACATCTAATTTTTAATTGGTTAGAACACATACAACAATGAAATTTTGTTTAGAAGTCTCTAAATTAATTAATTAGTTATATCCTGTGTCCTGCCCCTCTATCCCAACATGAGAAAAAACAAGACATCAAACTTCATCTGTTAATGACCTGAGAACCTGTATTTGCATCTTCCTCAACCCAACAGCAAACTCCAAAGCCTCGTTCATGGCATCTCGAGCAGCCGCCAGGGCATCCTCCAGGTCCTGATTAACCATGTAATAGGAACATATCTGGCTAAGTATACGATCATGCCTTTCTTGGAACCTCAAAGCCCTTTCTTCAGCATGTTCCAATGCCTGGCTAATCATCCTTAGCCTCTCTATCAAAACCTGTTGCCTTTGCCATCGCTTGAAACATGGTAGTACCAAGAAGAAGGAAGCAGAGAAGCCAACGACGGCAGCGAAAACTACACGAACGTGATCCATTAAAGGGATTTGGTGTTGATTATGGGGAGGAGGTGTGGGAGAAAGGCAAGCAATTTTAAGAGAAATGGAGATTCCTTGCTTTCAATGACAAGTTCTTTGGGGGTTTGCTTTTGTGTTACTCTTCCTCCATGGATTGCTTCATTATATGGTCTAAAACGTTCTGAGGCTAATGCTACAAACTTTTGGGGTAATGTTTCTTAAAATTGATTAGTGATCGTTAGTGTTCTAGCAAAGTTTATGGCAAGAAGTTAGACGACATAAAATTATATAAGTCTGACATTAACTAGATCGTGTTGTCAAAAAGCCAGATAGAAGTCGGCCAATTCAACTAGTCTGAAAGCTTCAGTTATCGTCAAGAAGCTTTGCGACTAATCAACTAACCTGGAGCACTTCAGTTTTGAGAGTTTTGCAGAGATTCTACCACGAGAAGTACTCAAGTCTGAGGAATGTTTTCTCCATTTCCTCATTCTTGGCTTTCGTGGCTTTCCTGCCTTCCTGTTTGATGACCGGATTTTCTCCAAGCGCTGACGGCGAATTTCAGTATCGGCCCACCCCTTTCCCCAGTCCGAGAAACTGGAATAAGCTCTTGGTTTTCTCATTGACAGAAGCATGTCTGCCTCCGGGTAAACATGGAAAGCCTCACCACTGTCATAGTGGAGAAACTCCACTCCCCTCTTTGTTGGTTCTGGGAATTTTATCTGAACATGGATCTGCACAAGACAGTGCATGTTAAACAAGAATACCAGAGTGGTGAGCAAAGATATTCATGTCTGAAAATCCGGCAGAACGAATCCAAGATATTCTAAGTCATCTCTTCTTGGCTACAGACCTTACAATTTTGTACACCTAGGGCAAAACAAAACTGAGGCAAATGAATTTGGACTTAGACTGATCATGTTTCTATATCAATCAGACTGACACGTTTAACAGTGTGAAACTTACTTAAGACATGATTAGTTAATCGTGTTATATATCATATATCTGTATAACTCGTGACCCGTTTACTAACTATTTATTTAATCGTGTTCATGTATCGTGTAAATACATTTAGTACATGGTCAAGACCTTCATAGTTGACAATAAATAAGACATAATTTACACCATTACAACTAACGTTAATTTCATTCATGTACTCAAATTGGAGAAGCTGTTCGTTTAAGTCATAAGTGCATACCTTATGATCCCCCTCTCTTATATATCCTTTAGCTTCCATGATTCGAGCAAGACCTTTCCACCATAGCAGATCGGTAGCTATGAATTTTTGAGACTGCAAATATCCATCACATGACAATCATCAAATACCATGTGAGAATTCCTGTTAACATATTGTTAAACCAGGTAGATATATGAAAGAGAGATCACCTGTTCCCTTATTTTATTGACAAAAGTTCTGAGGTTTGGCTTCTTTAAGAATTTTTGTCGTTCAATATTACTACATGGAGGATCATCATAAGAAAAGTCCATGAAACTGTTCTCTGCCTGCAATTTGATATGAATATCATGAACATAAGGAAAAGATGAAAGAAACTAATCCTTTTGACCATGAGCATATGATGTGTTCATTAGTTTCATGAGGTCACTGTAATGAAATGTAAAAATGTAAAGAAACAGAAATTGAACATAAGCACACACACTTACATAACGAGCAGCAATAATTTGCATCAAAATATTTGCCTCCTCTTTCAAATCTTGCTTGCTAGGAGATCCATTGACACAAACATCACACCTGAATAAAAAGAATTTACTAAGAGAGTTAGAATAAAGGGATAAAAGAAAAGAAAAAATCAAAATAAAATAAATAAGAACTAATATTACAGCAACTATCATTGCAAACAACTACCATAAAAAACCTTAAAAAAGCATTACACACAAGAGGCACTTCTCATTACTGAAATCTTCCCCAAAATACTCAACAAGGGTTTTGGCTCGACAGCAAGAGGTATTCATTCCATATCTGCAATTAAAAGTTAAGTAATTAAAAGCCAAAGCAGAGAGGGAGCAAAACAAGCAAGAAAAAATGTATTATGCAAACCTGAAGCAATCAGATAACATTTTATACGCCTGTTTTGTCTGATCTTCGCTTCTTTTACTAGGTAGAAGTGTTGGCACTCTTGATAAGTTTACATATAAAACTGCCAGGACATAAAGTATAGCTCAAGCTAATGTTAAAAATGTACCCAAATAAAGAAAAAAAAAACCTGATAAAATTACAAACTTCAGCTAGTAGTATTCAAAAAGAAAATACACTTTCTGACCAAAAAAATTACTAGAAAAATACAATAGGTAAGTTCTTTGCTTTGACAGTGAGCATGACATATATTCCGAAATAGTAAATAGGCTTACTGCAATCTGCTAATTTTCCATCCCTTCCTGCTCGACCAGCTTCTTGAAAATATGCTTCCAAACTCTGCAATCAGAATAAAGTTTAGAAAAAGCTGAAGTGACCAAAGAAACAAATAACGGTATCTGCCAATTGTGGGACATGGTAAAACTAGTAGGCATACAAGTTTCAAGAGAAAAGAAAAATTGAACCTGTGATAGTCTAGACAGCAAGACTTATCACTATATGATGAAAGTCAAAAAGTGCACCAATAGCTAATATTTATCAGAACCTGATGACAGACCTGTGGCCAACCATAATGCATGACTCTTCGAACATTCAACTTGTCAATCCCCATTCCAAAAGCCATAGTGGCAACAACAACCTGCAGGTCAGAGGTAAAGCATAACAAATCATCTGTCAGATGGCACAATTAGATCATAAACAGTACTTCACCCTAAAATTTCGTTTGATCTCAAGAAACAAAATAAGACTAAAGAAGAAAAAGGATGTAACATGTCTAAACAGAGAAGAAGATTGCAGAGCAGACAAAAGCAGATTCAGCATAGCTATGTAACCAGCATTTTACAAGAGAGATTGAAGCTTGGAGAACCAGAAAAGTAACTGGCTGAAATTTTCAAAGAAATATAATCTTTTGAAAAACAATGTAATTTCTGGAAAAGGACACATCTTATGGTGGATGGTTACAAAAAGTACAAAATTATGCAGAAACACTTCATTCTGAGTCCTGAAATCCATACCTCTAGGGAGTTTTCATGGAATTCCTTGTGAACCTGCCTTAAATGTGATTTTGGCAACTGAGAAACAAAGAGGGAGGAAAGTCATAAATAGTTGTGTATCAAACAAACATAAACTCTTGTCTTTATCATGTAGCTGCAAGAATGTATCAGCAAGAAAGCTAGACAATAACCAGAATGATATGCATGGGCAGAGTTTAACGGAATGAAGATAAGAGTGATTCCTTCAACATGAAGAATGAGAGGGAAAAGAAGAAGAAAGATGGAAAACAAGAGTTAAAGACAGAAAGAAGCAAAGACACCATACTACCAACCGCAGTTCAGAAGTACAGAAATTAGTGCTTAATGACTGCAAGAAACTAAAATGCAATTTCTATAAGTATTTACCGCTGCATTGTAAGCAGCAGCCTTAACTCCACACTTGCAAAGATACTTCGCAATGCTCAGTGTTTCCTTTCTTGTAGGAACATATACAATGGTAGGTCCTTGTTCTAGAGGCTCTTGCAGAAGCCTCAGCCGTGCTTCTGGATTATTCGGTGGATCAATTGTCTCAAATGACCCCTGTAAACCCCATTCTTCACAATGAGGAAATCCAGAAAATTCACCGTAGACAACTGCAAGATAAAAGCAATCAAAAAGCAGAAAAACAGTGAAGCTGGAAAGTTTTTATGTTCTATAAGCAAAGCCAAGCAATAGCATATATAGAAGATCAAATTAAAGTATCAGAGGATCGTACCATCCAAATATTCCACACACGGAAAGATGTCAACCTCATTTTCTAAATACTCTACTGACATTTGCTTTTCCCTTGAAGAAATTGAACCATTTTGCTTTGATGAATTTTCATTATCACTTTTGTCAATATCACTTTCTTCAATGTCATTCAAATCACTTGCAGAAGATTGATCTGAATCAGATTCTTGTGAGATTAGAGCTTGTTTCTTTTCACCAATCATTTTCTTTCGGGCATAAAGATCTATGAGTTGGCGAAAATCCGTCTCATATGAAGACTCTGATGTTCTACTATGTTTTACCTGTAAAGAGCAGCATATAAATTTGAGGTTCCTATTAAAACACAAACAAGTTCATGATAAGAGATTATGGAGAAATTCAATACATGCACTGAAAGAAAATAAAATAAAATAAAAACAATTTAAGACCATTCAAGTTTCTTGATACATAAAAAACCCACTCTAAGTGAAAGTTTGAAAGAACAAGAGGGAAGGGAGACAGGGAAACCAAATATGACCAAAACCATGCTGCAACAAGTGAAAACTCACTGAGAATCGTAAATTTGGACGGAAAAATGAAGTGAGCACAATCTTTGTCTCCCTTGACATGCGCAAGGAATCAAGAATGTCTTGTCGAACCCGAACTGTGGCAGTAGCAGTCAAAGCCATAATTGGGATGTCAAATTTCAAGAATTTTAAATTTGTGGCACTGAAACTCTCTCGTAATATAGACAATCGCCTGAAACAATGGAACATAGCCATATAAGGATGGCTAAAGCTTCAAAAACAAACTTGAGAGCCAGGCTTAATGTACCCAAAAGCAGTGTACAAACATGTTTCGAGCTAAACAAAAATATAATAAAGTGAAATTTGAAATTACAAAGAGATGTGTGGCTATAAAAATATGAAATGGCTGTCAAGTAAATTCCAAAAGATATTAGAGAAAGAAAAATTAACAAGTGACAAAAACTTACATCAATTGATTTACTACATAGATAAAATGCAATCAAAATTCAACTGTCTTTGTGCAAATCACACCTGCTTTAGCCATGAATAGTCATTTGGCTGGCTCTTAAATGCATTTAAGACATGGTTTAGTAAAATGCATATTTTTCCCTAAATCAAATAAGTACCAATGTTGATTTAAGTTAATTGGGTGAAGAAGAAATACAAAAAACCATGCAAACATAAGCAATACATACCCGTAGTCGGGACGAAAATCATTGCCCCACTTAGATACACAATGGACTTCATCAATTGCAAATAATGTAATTCCATGACTTTCTGCTAGCCTCTGGAGAGGTTTAATTAGTCTGCACCAAAGTACAAGTACTTTCTCAATTACAAAAAAAAAAGAATAAACATTTTCTTTGAGAAAAAAACAAAGAGGCAATGCATGCACCTACCTCAAAATTGTCTCTGGACAAACATATATAATATTATACATTCCTCTCATGGCTTTCTGTTCCACGCTGCTGTCTGGTTGCCCAGACCCAAGAAAACATGCAGAGACCCCATGTTTTGATAATTTTAAGCACTGATCGTGCATCAAGCTTATCAAAGGAGAAACCACAACCACAACCTTTCCTGTTAATAATGTAGGAATCTGGAAACAAAGAGATTTTCCTGCAGAAGGTAAATAATTAGTACCTAAAAAATTATGAGATAGCAAAGTGAATGGCAATAAGAACAAGACAAGCAAAAGAATATAAGTATTAACCAGATCCTGTTGCGGCAAGAACAAGACAGTCTTGGTGAGTGAGCCAAGCAGCCAAGGCTTCCTTCTGGAAACTCTTCAAGGATGAATAACCAAAATGCTTTTGTAATAAACTGTTAACCTTTGGCTCCCAATTTGATCCAATATCAGGCTCCTCAGAGCAGCAAACTGAAAATGGTTCAGGCACAGTTTCAAGCTGATTATTTACAAAAGGAAATGATCCCTTTTGTTCTTCCACAGGACTATGCGACACCTGGGATCGGGACACAATTCCATCAGGTGCATCATAACCTTTGCTTCGCTTTGGTTTACTTGTGGATTGAAAATGATCCCATATACTAGACTGTCGCATTAGACCCTTAGATTGTAAGGATGACATGCCTCTTTTACTCCTCCCATTCCTTGAAGAACATTGAGAACCAGTCGATGCAATGTGACTATTCCTATGACAACCATTCAAAACATACTCAACCGCATCATTAACTGATGGTCCCACGGCTTTTACAGCTTCTATGGCATCAGAACTCTCAAATCCCATTTCAATAAGCTCTTGAACAACTTCATCAGACGGCGCATTATTTCCACCCATTTCATGAGAACTGTCAACCAAGGATAAAACAAAAACCTACCCTAAAGTCAAGGACATCTCAAACACATAAAGCAAAACCTAGTTGACTCAGATTAGTTCTCTTCCTTTCTCTTCCCCTTTTTCAAAGTTTCTGAAGAAACTAAAATTGTCACTTAAAATCTACTCAAAAATAAAATATTACTAGAAACCTAATTCTTCAATTATAATAAAGTTCGATGTATCCATTTAGCAATGCGAGCTTAATCTGAATAACACAAATTTTCGATCCATACTTCCCAAACGATGGTACAATAATTCATATTTTATCGTTTTTCTCCCTTCCTTTTCCTTTTCATTTTCTGGCTTACCAAACAGAACCGAAAGATCAAAGTCAAGCAGACGAGTAAGGGAGTTCGAATCTTAAACGTTTCAGAAGAACGAATTCAATGCATTAAAAGCCAAACAAATGATAAAAAAAAATTCAAAAAACAAGACTGCAAAGAGAAATCTGACCTAACTCAGACGGCGATTCAGCTTGAGATCCGAGAAAACTTGAGAGAAAACAGAAAAGCTAGAATTTGCAAAGCCCTTTTTTTTTTTTTTTTCCGAATTGGTGAATTGAAATTCAATTGGCCGCGAAAATATATTTGCTTTTAAGCACCCACGAGCCACGCGCCAAAAGTGAACCGGCGCTCCAATTAATTAATTATATTATATGCTATTTAAATATTAATTTATTTCATATTTCAATTTACAAAATCAAAACATTTCAAATGCATATGACATTCAGTGAATTAGAGTTATTAACAAATAAAATACTTAATTATAGAAATAGGTAAATTATCAAATATACACTCACTCTCAAAAGAATATCCTTAGCTTAACATACAAAAATATCCTTAGCTCAACACATAAATCTAACTATTAATCAATTATTCATGTTTTCATTAATTTGAAGACATAGTAATATTTTTTGATAATTTTACTTTTTATTAATTTTAAAAATTATTTAATTATATAAATAATAAATTTTTTTAAAAAAAATTTTCTCTTATTCAAAAAAAAAATTTCTCAACCTTACCTCTCGCATATTAATCACCTCATGGCTAAATCTAATCAAAAAATGCCAAATTCAACTAGATCACTCTCCCTTATGAGAGCATGAGATCTAAAATGCTCAACTAGATGGGGAGTGTGATGGAGATACGACCACATCTGGCATTCCAATACTAAATCCGATCACTAGGTAGCCGATTAGTGTAAAGAAACACCGCAAATCAACTTGAAAGAAAAAAAAATAAAGTAAAAAAAGATAAATATATTTTAAATATTTCACGTTTACTTGTTATTATCGTTTACAAATTTGAAGTGAATTGTATATTTTGAATACTAATAGACACGTGTAGTAGAATTATGATTAAAAATTAAGAAGTCAAGATATTTTTTCAATATATTATAATTGTATAACACTTTTAATAAAATCTGTTTGCAATATCAATAACTTCAAAATAATTTTTTTTTTTGTAATTTTCATATAATTTTTAATAATATCAATAAGTTTAATGAATATTTAGTAACATAATATTAATTTTATAACTTTTTCGATATTATCAATTTACAAATCAATATTCTCATAATTTAATTATTTTTCCTAACTTTCACGTAATTTTGTAACTTTTTCAATAATATATGATTTACAAAATCAATATTATAAGAATATAATTATTTTTTTATTTTTCATTTACTATTTAATAACCTTAGACATTTTTGTCAAAAATTTCTATTGAAAATATGAGTAAATAGGTTTATTGAAATATTAAATACTTAATCATAAAAAAATTTATTAAATACTTATTTACTAAAATATCATATACTTATTTAATGTTATATTTGCAGCACTCATCTATTGCCCAATAAGCTTATAAATGCTTTATGTATTAAAGATCTCACATCAATAAAAACGAGTACGTCTTATATATATAAATATGCACTTTCCACTAAGGTTAGTTTTTAAGAGAGAAGGCAAGGGTCCCATGACATATGATATAAAAGTAAATTTGAATTTTTATTGATACGAAACCTTATAAGAAATAAAAGAGTTGAGATAAAGTCGAATTAATGTAAGAATCTCTCTTTTATATGATAAGAGATAAAATAAATCTTAAAGTTATAAATATAAACCTTCCATCACAGAAATATTTTTTTAGATTGAGAATGTGTATCTTATGACATTATAAGTATCATCGTAAATATTCAATAATATTTTGTTATTGAAATATTAAATATATATTTACTGAAAATAAACTATATTTACATAGCCTTTTTAGCAATCTGATTTTGCAAAATCATGTACTTCAAAATATATAAAAGTTTTTGTTTTTTTATTTATTATTTAATAGAATTTCATTGTTATTTTTCATGAAAATATAAAAACATTATATTATTAAAATTTTAAATACTTATACAAATTTGTTAATAACCTTTGTTTGCAAAATTAATAATCTTAAAAACCCACAATAATGACTTAATGTTACGAAAATATCAAATACTATATATTATTTAAATATCGTATACTTTTCCAACAAAATAAGTGATTTTATTTAATATTTTAAAGTATTTATTTATTTATTTTCTTTTTATTCATACTTTACTTTTTCTTTTTCAACTTTTTTTTATTTATCTTCTTTTTTCTCATTTTAAGTGGATGTTTATTTTAAAATTTAAATCTATCCATGTTAATTTTGAAGAAAAATACAACAAAAAGAAAAAAAGGAAAAAAAAAAGACAATAGAATCTTAATCCTCTGCTCTCAACAGTTTACAACTCATCAGTAGGTTCATCCTCCTCTTCTGATCGAGCCGAGCTGCCACCACTTTTCTCATAAACCTGTTTTATGATTGGATTACACACTGCCTCCACCTCCTTAAGCTTCTCATCAAAGTCGTCCTTCTCTCCATTCTGGTTATCATCCAACCATTCCAGGGCTTCTTTCAAGCTGCTCTCGATCCTCTCCTTGTCGCCAGAACCAAGCTTGTCTGCAAGCTTGTCCTTGTCATCAATGGTGCTCCTCATGTTGTATATGTATGTTTCTAGCTTGTTCCTGGAATCAATCTTCTCCCTCACTTTCCTGTCCTCTTCCGCGAATTCCTCAGCTTCCTTCACCATCTTTTCGATCTCTTCCTGGCTGAGCCGCCCCTTGTCGTTGGTGATGGTGATGGATTGCGACTTCTTCGCTGCTTTGTCCTCTGCTGTCACATGGAGGATGCCATTGGCATCAACCTCGAAGGTGACTTCGATTTGAGGAACTCCCCTGCAAGAACAGAGATAACATTGGTTGGTCTATCACACCGGGACAGTTTAAAAATAAAATGATCAAATTTGGAATATGATACTCACCTTGGGGCAGGTGGAATACCAGTCAGATCAAATCTTCCAAGCTCCCGACAATCTTTTGTCAAGCTTCTTTCACCTTCATAAACCTGGGATTTTGCAAACACAACATGGGTTTAGGTTCAACAGGGTAATAAGGATACAATAAACACATCAAAGAAGCAAGATTTGTTTGTTGTTACCTTGATGGAAACTGTGGTTTGCTGGTCTTGGTAAGTGGTGAAGACCTGAGATTTCTTAGTTGGGATAACAGTGTTCCTTGGGATCAACTTGGTCATGACACCACCAACTGTTTCAATGCCAAGACTCAACGGAGCAACATCCAGAAGAAGAATGTCTGCCAAGAATCAAAAAACAGGAAATCTTGTTCTTGTTACTGTGGTCGATCAACGTTTTCTGCTCTGCCAAAACTAATGAAAGAAGATCATTATTACCTTTGGTTTCTTCCCCTCCTTCACCGCTAAGAATCCCACCCTGAACCGCAGCGCCATATGCCACAGCCTCGTCCGGATTGATACCCTTGCTAGGCTCTTTGCCGTCAAACAAATCCTTCAACAGTTGTTGAACCTTGGGGATTCGAGTACTTCCTCCAACAAGCACGATTTCATTGATATCAGACTTCTTCAAATCGGCATCCTCCAAAGCCCTCTTTACTGGTCCTAGAGTTTTCTTAAACAAGTCCATGTTCAACTCTTCAAACCTTGCCCTTGTCAATGGCTCCGAGAAATCAACACCATCAAACAATGACTCGATCTCGACCCTAACCTGATGCTGGCTGCTCAAAGCTCTTTTTGCTCTCTCACATTCCCGACGAAGCTTCCCTAGAGCCTTGTTGTCCTTGCTGATATCTTTGTTATATTTCTTCTTGATCAACTTGATGAAATAATCCATCACTCTATGATCGAAATCTTCTCCTCCCAAGTGGGTGTCTCCACTGGTAGCAAGAACTTCAAAGACTCCATTATCAATTGTCAGAATACTAACATCAAATGTACCACCGCCTAGATCATAGACCAGAATGTTCTTCTCTCCTCCTTTCTTATCCAATCCATATGCAATGGCGGCAGCCGTAGGCTCATTGATGATCCGAGCCACATTTAGCCCGGCAATGGTGCCAGCATCCTTGGTAGCCTGCCTTTGTGCATCGTTGAAATAAGCTACAAAATCAGAAAAAAGAACAGAACCCATTAAACCATATTCTGCTCTCTGTAGTTCCACATAACAAGAACAATGTAACAAGGAGATTTTAACCATACCCGGAACGGTAATAACAGCATCTTTGATCTTCTTCCCCAAGTAAGCTTCAGCTGTTTCCTTCATTTTCGTCAAAACCATAGCACTGATTTCCTCAGGGCTGAAAACTTTCGTCTCACCTTTAACCTTAACTTGAATATAGGGCTTCCCATCTTTGTTAACCACCTTGTAAGGCAAGAACTTTATATCTCTTTGAACCTCAGTATCATCAAACCTAACATTAAAAAACAAAACATTTCAAGTTCAATTCACCTCCAAAACGAATAACAGAAAAACCCAACAAGTTAAACTTCAAAAATATCAACTTCTTTTACTTACTTTCTTCCAATGAGGCGTTTAACATCAAAGATGGTGCGTTCTGCATTGAGAGCCGCTTGATTCTTTGCGGCTTCCCCAATCAAACGCTCTGTATCAGTGAATGCAACCCATGATGGGGTGATTCTGTTCCCTTGATCGTTCGCTATAATCTCTACGTGACCGTTTTTATAAACTCCCACGCAAGAATACGTAGTCCCCAGGTCGATTCCGATCACCGTTCCTACCTTCGTTTCATCTGCCGCTACTGCTATTCCTAAGTAGAATTCTTCACGAAAAACCAGAGAAAAACAGAGTGAAACAGAGCAACTCAAATTGAAAACACAAATTTCAGTTAAGAAAAGAAAAGGATCTCTGTTTACCTGAAATAAGGAGAAATAAAACCCAAAACGCCTTGTTCTTGATCGCCATTGTTGCTGTTCGATTCACTGCCATCTGAGAAAAATCAAATTTACTTGGTTTTAGTTTTCACTCTGGTTTTTGATTTCGGTAGAGCGTAGGTGGTTGAAATGGTGGTTTATTTATACAGGGGTGAAGGGTGTTCGGTGCTAGAGTGTTCTACCCAATGGGAGAGGGCCATGTCATTAAACTGACGCTTTCGTTGTTGGCAATTGAGGAATAGTACCACGTTGTGGACCCAATCGGTGGATGACACGTAAGGAAATTGGAAA